CAGAGACTCTTCACCCAGAAACTCTTCTTGCACATACTTTTCACCCATATATACTTCTTACCAAGAGACTTCACCCAGAAACTCTTCTTGCACATACTTTTCACCCAGATACTTTTCACCCAGAGACTCTTCACCCAAAAACTCTTCTTGCAAATACATGTCACCCATATACTTTTCACCCAGAGATTCTTCACCCAGAAATTCTTCTTGCACAGACTTTTCACCCAGAGACTCTTCACCCAGAAACTCTTCGTCATACTTTTCACCCATATACTTTTCACCCACAGAGACTCTTCACCAGAAACTCTTCTTGCACATACTTTTCACCCATATACTTTTCACCCAGAGACTCTTCACCCAGCAACTCTTCTTGCACATACTTTTCACCCATATACTTTTCACCCAGAGACTCTTCACCCAGAAACTCTTCTTGCACATACTTTTCACCAATATACTTTTCACCCAGAGACTCTTCACCTAGAAACTTTTCTTGCACATATTTTTCACCCATATACTGTCACCCAGAAACTCTTCTTGCACATATTTTTCACCCATATACTTTTCACCCAGAGACTCTTCACCTAGAAACTCTTCTTGCACATACTTTTCACCCATATACTTTTCACCCAGAGACTCTTCAACCAGAAACTCTTCTTGCACATACTTTTCACCCCGAACTCCACCAGAAAACTCTCTTGCACATAACTTTTCACCCATGATACTTTACCAGAGAACTCTTTGCACATATTTTCACCATACTTTTCACGGAGCCTCCCACCGGAAACTCTTTGCAAACTTGCACCAAGTGTATACTTGCACCCATGAGGATCTTACCTAGAAAACTTTCTGGCACATATTGTCACCCATATATTTCACCCAGAAATCTTCTTGCCACAGACTTTTCACCCATATACTGTCACCCAGAGACTCTTCACCTAGAAAATCTTCCTGCCTTCGGCACATAAATTTCAACCATATACTTTTCACCAGAGACTCTTCACCCCAGAAACTCTTCTGCACAGACTTTTACCCAGAGATTCTTCACCCAGAAACTCTTCTTGACATACTTTAACCCATATAATTCTTCCGCTTCCTAACTTTCACCAGGAAACTTTCTTGCACATAGTTTTCAGTCCATATATTTTCACCCAGAGATCTTCACCTAGAACCTCCTTGCACAGACTTTTCACCAGAGGACTCTTTGCCACTACTTTCGCCCCATATACTTGCCCCCAGGGACCTCTACCGAGAACAGTGTCTGCGCACCATATTTTTGTCACCCACTACTTGTTAACCAGAAACTCTTCTTGCACATACATGTCACCCATATACTTTTCACCCAGAGATTCTTCACCCAGAAATTCTTCTTGCACAGACTTTTCCCAATATAAGCTGTTCCATTCTGTTTAACCCAGAGGACTCTTCACCAGAAAAAAGAAGAAACTCTTCGTGACATACTTTCACCCCATATAACTTTCACCCAGAGACTCTTCATCCAGAAACTCTTCTTGCACATACTTTTCACCCATATACTTTTTACCCAGAGACTCTTCACCCAGAAACTCTTCTTGCACATACTTTTCACCCATATACTTTTCACCCAGAGACTCTTCACCCAGAACCTCTTCTTGCACATACTTTTCACCCATACACTTTTCACCCAGAGACTCTTCACCCAGAAACCCTTCTTGCACATACTTTTCACCCATATACTTTTCACCCAGAGAAGACTCTTCTTGACAAATACGTTTCACCCTATACATTTTCACACAGAGACTCTTCACCCAGAAACTCTTCTTGCACTTACTTTGCACCAATATACTTTTCACCAAGAGGACTCTTCACCTAGAAACACTGTTGTGCAACATTTTTCAAACCAATAGACTCTTCACCCAGAAACTCTTCTTGCACAGACTTTTCACCCAGAGACTCTTCACCCAGAAACTCTTCTTGCACATACTTTTCACAATATACTGTTCACATCTTTCACCCAGAGATCTTCCACCCAGGACACTCTCTTGCACGGACTTCACGAGACTCGCACCCAGAAACTCTTCGTGCACATACTTTTCACCATATACTTTCAACCAGAGACTCTCTCTTGCAATACTTTCAACCCATAAAATTCTTCACCCAGTAGGGGACTCTTCACCCGAAAACTCTTCTTGCACCATACTTCACCAATTATACTTTTCACCCAGAGACTCTTCACATATGGAACGGTCTTGCACACATTGCACCCATATACTTTTCACCCAGAAACTCTTCTTGCACATACTTTTCACCCATATACTTTTCACCCAGAGGACTCTTCACCCAGAAACTCTTCTTGCACATACTTTTCACCAATATACTTTTCACCCAGAGACTCTTCACCTAGAAACTTTCTTGCACATACTTTTCACCCATATACTTTTCACCCAGAGACTCTTCTTGCACCCAGAAACCCTTTTTGCACCTACTTTTCACCCATATACTTTTCCAGAGAATACGTTTCACC